CCAAATATAGGTAGAAACCTGTTTTCCATATTAGCCGCACAAGATAAAAATTCAAAAAACAGCAAGTTTGAATCTTATGCAACCAAATGTCAACTCAGTATAAAGAACCGAGTGGTAGTACAAGGGACAAGACGAGTAGATGGTTCCTTGTATGAGGCAAACTTGATTTCATTAACTCCAAATACACCGGCTGAAGTGAATATAGTCAGTGAAAATTCAATAGTGCAGCTCTACCATGAACGTTTTGGTCATCAAGATAAACGTCACATAAAGAATGTTATAGAAAAAGAGTTAAACATTAAAGTTCATCTTGACAAGGATTTGTGTGAACCATGTCTCTATGGTAAAGCACATCGGTTAAAATTTGGCAAGAGAAATGCAACCAATAAACCAGGTGAACTACTATCAGCAGATGTTTGTGGTCCTTTCGGTACAGAATCATTTAATAGTAAACGATATTTTGTTGTTTTCAAAGATCATTACAGCAAAATGAGGTTCATTTCTTTTCTTAGACACAAAAATGAAGTGAAACAGGCACTACAAAATATTTTGTCTCAAGCAGCGACTCAAGGTCATAAAGTAAAAGAATTTTTGAGTGACAATGGGGGTGAGTTTGACAACGAAGAAGTTCGAAACATTCTGCGCAGCCATGGAATCACGCAAAGACTAACAGCATCATATACACCTCAACAAAATGGTGGTAGTGAACGTGAAAACAGAACAATAGTAGAAATGGCACGCACATTGAAGTACTCAAATCCAGATTTTGAATTTCCAGTCGCTATGTGGGCTGAGTTATGTTCAACTGCAGTATATTTACTTAATCGAACAGGCAAGTCGTCGATTGAAGATAAAAGCCCATTTGAAATTTGGACAGGTAAAAAGCCGAGAATTAACCATTTGAGAATAATTGGCTCTACATGTTTTGTTCACATACCTGATCAAAAACGTCAAAAAATGGATAAGAAAGCCATAAAAGGTTACCTTGTTGGTTACGATGGTGACGAACGCTATCGTATATGGCTCAAAAATCAATATAAAATGATATTCTCAAGAGATGTAGTTTTCCATGAAAAACCTATGAAATGTACAACATCATTTGAACATCAGACTCAAAAAGATTTTACAACAGATCCTCAAATCAATTGCAAATCAGAAAATGACTCAAGTAGTAGAAATGATGATTCAAAAGAAGAAATTTCAGATGACACTAATGAAGATGTTCACAACCGTAGTTCAGTTTCATCTGATGAAGAAGATCAATCTGACTGTTGTAATCAAAAGACCAAAGGTATGGTTCTACGTGACAGGAATAATATCAAAAAGCCATCTCGTTATGATCCTTTCGTTATGTCTGCATTAAGTGAAGTACTGAACCAGAGAGCTACAAAGATG